GCCGCGCGACACGCGCGCGCGCCGTCGCCGACGTCGGCGCGCCTAGCCGATCGTGAGCTGGAAGCCGAAGGCGGGCTTCATGTCGGCGTACTTGGCCGTCGCGCCGAAGACGGCCGTCGCGTCCTTGCCGACCTTCTTGACGATCACGGCGCTCAGGGCCTTGGCCGACGTCTTGAGGCCGAGGGTGAAGGCGCCGAGGCCGCTGTGCTTGAGGCCCACCGTCGCGCTGTCGGCGCCCGTCGAGTCGCCCGTCGCCGCGACCGTGAGCTTGGGCATGGGCGAGAACATCATGCCAAAGTTGAAGACCTTCTTCGGCGTGTAGACGCAGGACGCGAAGACGCCGGACACCGTCGCCGAGCCGCCGAGGGAGAAGGACAGCGCGCCGCCGGAGACGGGGTACTCGAAGCCTCCGCCGAAGACGCCGACCTTGAAGGGCGCGACGGTGCCGGAGCCCGCGAGCTTCTTCTTGTCCACGGACGCGATGACCGTGTTCTTGTCGCTCTTGAGCTCCGCCGTGAGCGCCGCGGACGACGCGTCCGCCGGGTTGACCTTGCCCTTGAACTTGATGCCCGACACGGTCTTCGACGCCTCGACGCCGTAGGTCTTGCCCTTGAGCGTGAGCTTGTCGAAGCTGACGCCCGTCGTCGGCTCGACGTACTTGGCCGTGAGCTTGCCGTCGACGCTGTCCTTGACCTCGTTCTCGATCGTGAACGACAGCGGGATCGCCTTCGGCGCGACCTTGGCCTTGAGCAGGAACTTGGTCGTGTAGTCGTCGCCGATGACCTGCGCGGCGGGCGGCTCGCGCGGCGGGCGCGCTCGGGCGGCGGAACGGGCGCGCGCGGGGGCCGAGTCGCGCGCGCGCGCGGCGCCGAGAACCGCCGCGCGCCGGGGACGGGGGCGACCGCGCGCGCGGGACCGCGGCGAGGGCGCGCCGGGCTCCGGCGGCGGGCGCGCCGGGGTCGAGCGGCGGGCGCGCGGGGCCGAGGACGAGGGCGCGGGCCCGCCGGGGTCGACGCGAGCGTACGGCACTCTCGCGAACTCCACTTGACGGGGCTCCGTTCCGACGGCCCCCGGCGCCGGACGCCGGATCGTACGTCGCCGGCGGGCTTGGCCAAATCTCCGAACACTGGAATACCTAGGAAGCGAACGAAATCATCGCACGTGGGGCGCGCGGCATCGGGCGCTGACGACGCCACCCATGAGAACAAGCGACTTCGACTGGCCTGTGGATGGTGTGGCGGTGCGGCCGCGGCAGGCCCCTGGGCGGGCATGCGCAAGCGGCGAGAGGCCTCGGCGCGGCCTGTGGCGGGACATCCTCGGGCCGGGGCATGCATGCCGGCTTCTCAGGCTGCGCGCGCCAGGCCTGCGGGACCCCGTCGCACCTCAGTCGGCACCCACAGTCACAGCTTACCCGGCGGTGCGCGCAACGTCACCGCCTAGCGAGGGGGCTCGGCAGGGGGCTCGGCCGCGGCGTCGCGTCCCCCGACCAGCCCGCGCGCGGCGTCGCCGACGACCGGCGGCGCGCGCCCGGCGTGGTCCTCGGCGTGGTCCTCGGCGTCGCGGACCCGGTCCGCCGCCGCTTCGACGCGTCGAGCGCGGCGCGCAGCGGCGACGGCGGCGGGACCTGGCGGCGCTTCGCGCGCGCGTCCAAAGACCGGCCGAGGGCCTCGCGGCGGTTCGCCGGCTGGCTCAGGAGGCCGCCGTCGTCGAGCGGCAGCGGGGTCGCGGCCATCGTCCCCCAGGTCACGAGGGGCGACGCGCCGCCCGGCTCCCCGCCCGGGTGGATGCGCGGCGTCATGGGCACGAGCCGGTCGTGGCCGCCGTCGTAGGCGCTCGGGTAGGCCGACGAGTCGCCGTCGCTGTCGGAGGCGACGTCGCCGAGGTCCGGCCACGCGCCCGTTTCCGACGACGACGCGGACCGCGACCGCGGCCGCGCCGGCGCCGGCGGCGCGAAGCGCGTGTTCGCGCGCTGGATGCCGCCGCGGATGTCGGCGCCCCGGGCCAGCGCGAGCGCCGTCTCGCGCGGCGCGTCGTACCTCGGCGGGAACAGGAGCGCGGGCCGCGCCTCGTGCGGCGCGAAGTCGAGGCCGTTCCGCCGCTCGTCGCCGCGCTTCGGCGCGGCCGCCGCCGCCGCGTCCGCCAGGAGGCGCCGCGCCTCCGAGAGGCGCGTGCCGTCGCTCAGGAGGTGCCGGCCCGGGTCCGTCGGATCGGGCACCTCGACGCCCGCCTCTAAGAGCGACCGCTCGTCGTAGGCCCACCAGTATTTCCGGATGTGGTCCAGCCGGCTCCGCTCCTGGGCCTCCTCGAAGCTCGCGTTGTCCTCGGACGTGTGCCGCGCGGCGAACGCGTCGAGCGTCATCGGCAGCGCGTCGCCCTCGGCTAAGCCGGGGAAGTAGTCGCGGTCGATGATGCGCCGCATCTCGTCGACGTAGGCCTCCTCCTCGAGCACGGCCTTCTTCGGCGGCCGCGGCCGCGGCGGCGGCGGCGCCATGAGCAGGCAGCCCGTGCCGCCGCGCGTCGGCCGCGGCGCCGGCGCATCGGCCGCGGCGGGCCCCGCGGGGCGCGTCGACGGCTGGATCTGGTACCGCTCGACGTCGTCGTCGGCGATGGGCGTGCCGTTTTTCGCATCGCCGTTGGACGCCGCGTCGCGGGCGCGGGCGCCGACGGCGACGAGGGCCGACAACGAAGGCGCCGCCATCTCGAGTGGCCGGTGTTTGGCCTGATCGACCTCTTGACTGGCAGTATTAGGCCAATGTTGCACACAAGTTGAACTTCAAGTTAACCATGAGGCGGGCTTTGAGGCCCATGTCGAAGAGAAGCCGGAAGCGCCAGACGGCGATCGAAGCACGACGCTGCCCGGGAGCTCCATAGTACGCCCCCCCCCCCG